GCATTTCAAAGCAGACTTTTTACGAGCTTTAAATAGCACTTGCACTTGACATAATTGCGGAATTATCGTTTTGGGATCCAAGTTCACAAATTGCAGTGCGCTTCAGACTAATTGATTTGGAAAGGACATATATATGGAATGTTATATTTATCAAATAAAAAAAAAACAATTATTGTTAAAACCTCAAAATTAGTAATATCAAGTTTTTTAATTTAATAAAAAAACAAAGTGTTTGTGCAGACTGTTGCCAAACTCACAAATTTCTTGTCAACGTGTGGTAATCGCGATTCTTACGCTTGAGTTGAGGATCGCGATCTGTAAAGAAACGGCAGACAGGCCTTTAATTAATTAACGCCGGACTTCACCTTGAGACGTTGTGTTCGAACGAAGATCGTTGATCGACCGTCGATTTCGCCGATCGATAAGGGAGTGTCGTCGCGGACGTCGCGGAAAATGCTGAGTTGTGATTATATTGTTTGGAGCTGAATAGAGCCGTCCGTGCATGGGTACTCAACACCATTGTGGGCGCTCGGAGAACCCACCGGTTCCGTTGGCTCCTCTGTCTTTCTTTCCTTCCTCCCTCCCGGTCTCGCGTATGTGTTAGTTTATACTTTGTATAAATATAAGACCGGTAACCCGGTGGTTACCGGTTCCGACGTACCGGAAGGCGTGCTCTCTTCGACGTAGCTCTTCTCTCAGCTGCGTCTCGATTAAAAATTATGTCATTGAGTTACGACAATCGCGTGCCACCTATAGAAAATGGATTCTACACAATGATGTGTGATTATTTACAGTTAGCCGCGTTAGCGGTGGCGGTGGCTGCCTCAATCGCATGCGCGTATAAAAGAAACGGTCAAGAGCCGCAACCTCACGCATCTCTCTCTGTCATAATTACGATTTATTTTAAAATCAATTAAACGAGGCGCAAGCGTCGGCAAAAAAATTACCGGTTGTCACCGAGCGCGTTCACGTCACGTTTATCTTCTCGCTAAAACCGCGTACGGCATACCACTTGCAGAGGTCCGCCTCGTTACAATCGAAAATGAAGGATCAAGGAACCGGTCAAGAAGGAACGTAACGATCGATCGGACGTCTGTCGATTGAAGTGACGTTCTTGAAAACTCCCCGAAATTATATAGCACGTGCGCAAGAGCCCGGAAGATATCGAAAAGGTCTTTGTTTCGCATCGCGATGCCGTTTTAAATATCTGCGGAGCCGATCGCGTTAAGATTTAAGAGACAACAGTGTATCGCATAACATTTTCGAAGTACAATATTTTTTTGTAAAAAAAAATTACCTTTGTAAAAAAAAGATTACAACCAAATAACATTTACGTATTAAAATTTATACGTGAGAAATATTGTCTCATCTTTATTTATAACAGCTAAAAATGAATTTGAATTCGCTTGGCAAAGTGTTTGAAGATTCAAACCTTTTGCCATTTTGACATTTATACGGTTCTCCATAAGAAGCGTGCGTAACTTATGCGCAATGGATGAAGATAGTAATTAAAATTCATGGTTGCGAATCTGACGAAAAACAGACCGGTCAATGCTATCGACATCGACATCGGTCGTGCAGAGCTAATTAGCGATGCAAATAAAAACATTCTTGTCTGTTACAAAGTTTGCAACAGACGAGAGAACCGGTGGTGAATACAGGCAGCTTGCGCCTAAGAGGCTACAAAAACCACTGTATAGCGTGTCTATTATTAAACGCACATCGCAGGTGTAACGTTAAAGCTCTTCGGCCGACTCGTCGCCCGTATTTATCGCTCGTCACGGCACTTTTGCAAGCGGCTATTCTATCCGCGCTTATCTCGAAGCTCATTAAAGCAGAATTAATTAAAAGAGGTCTAGATAAGGTCGACTTCAGAGTCACAACCATCAAAGGGCAATTTCGGGTGCAGAAGTTGCAGTTGAAAAAAACCAAAAAATATACATAGAAATATTTGAAGTCACGCAAAGTGACTCGATGGAAATGCAACAGTGCCGCTTTCTAAGCCTGCAGCCAATTGCGTTTCAGACTCGCGTTTCCAGTTTCCAGTCGAAACATCAATCATCGGACACTTACACGACAACTTTAACTCAAAAATTGCAGCTTTGCGAAATTTTTTTCGACGGAGGTGTGCGACATGATGGACGAGGAATTTCACAATGGATAATTACGCGATGTAAAGGCAGGCGATATAACCTCATTTTCAACAGCGAACGTGTCAAACTGGAACAAGAGGTCTGTCGTGCGTTTCGTTCCCAACTCTCTCGCGCTCGGATTTTCAACGGATCGAAAAGCGGAGGACCGGTTTGCTTCGTTGCGCACCTACGACTTCCGGCCGGATTCGCGGTGTCAGTAAAAGGTGCTCGTAAATTACGTCGCTCTTACGATATATTTTCCTCGGCCACCGCGTACCACCGAGACCATTATCGGTAAACACACTATTAGCGCCGCCGCGGGGTGAGACAGTCCGTGTACCAATCTAGAATCGTAAAACTGGCCGAGTGTCCGGTAATAACGTGCGAACGCGCTATCCATCAGTTGAGACAAAACAGTTAAGCGGCGCTGTTCTAGAGCGATCGCGATAATGAGCGCCGGTCGAGCGAGGCGAAATGTCGGCGAAAAGAAGTCCGCCAGGACACACGCTAAATCTTTACATTGTAGAAAAAATAAACGATGATAACATTCGCAGTTACGTAGTTAATCCGATTGTCAGTATCATTCACATCTAATATGAACTTGTTACTATTACTCTTTTTGTGAAAAGTAAAAGAATATTAAAGAAGGTTTCAATAGAAACTTCTTGAGAGCTGAAACGGAGCGAAAGTGATTAGACGGCGCAGACGTCCGTTTCACATAAAAGAAGTACCGTCGCGTAGAATATAAGACAGTTGATTAACAGAGTGTGTGTTAGTAGATGATGCGGCATATCTACCATACCTGCTAGTTAAACGCAGGAGCCGTATTGCAATCGATCGTTAATAATCTTGGGAGGATAATCGGATGCTGAGATTGCCACCTGCTGTTTTCGTATCATCGACACAGCCTAATTCGTATACCCGGTAGTGCACGGTTATCAACCGGCCGTGCGGATCGTACGGATTAAAATCTCTTCTTGTGCGAGATCTTGGCTATATTAACCGTGAAGGTGCCGGCGCGATTAAATTTCTCGAGTGTGGACCGAGTGCGTTTCACACGAACTAGAGCGATGATTCATGGCGCATTTGTTTCTTTTCACTCGTTTTCTTACGTAGTACCGTTAATCCTTCTTTTTATTTATCTTCGCACGAATTTAAGCACAAACAAGCATGAAACGTCACGCGTTCTTATCTAAACGCGGTCGCTTTCTCTAAATTAAAATATTCAGATAATAATATGCAAAGTAATAATATAACTCCTGTTTTTTTAATAGTTAAAATTAGTCAAAAAAATATAAAGAACACTTGTATATGGAAAAAAAAGATTTGATAGAATGGCAAGAAAGTAATTACTGTATGGCCAGCAAGAAAATTTACTATCAAGCTTCTTGAGATTTTTGTTGTGTCAACGTTTGTTGATGAAATAAAAAATTCCATAGATTCAACAATTTTTCTTGCTGACCATTAAATAACAAATCATTTTTTCTTGTAAAAGAAAAAAGATTGAATTGTCCTCGAACTTCCGGAATAAAATTACTTAGGTATGGGATTTGATATTTTTCTTTTTTGTTAACCGAGCGTTAAATGCTCTCAGAGCACGACATCGCGTGTACTTACGCTTGTTACACACATTAATGTAGTAAGTTACGGGTGTAAGTTAAGTTAGAAGCACGCGTCCGCGGGCGTAGCCTCTGGCTTGTTTCTCTAATCTAAACTTGCAGAGAGCCAACACCGATTGTAATATAAATCTACCTTAATGATATCACGCATAATGTCCGGTTGACGTTATCTTGGCCGGTTTCGTGCGTGAGAACACCACTGACACTTCGGTATCCGGACTTTCGCGTACCGGCAGGCAATCGCGCGCAGAGAGAAGATGATATCGCCGAGATTTTCTTCTTCCTGTCCGTTTCTCGCGTCATTTAGGTGGATCCGTGTGGCAACGCAAGCGGCAAGAAGCGCCGTTCAGGACAATGGTTATGTCTGTCAACGACCGCAAATAGCTTTGTTGATGCTTTCAACGAAGTGGAAAGATCGCAGAAAAGCCCATCTATATAAATTATTATTACCTAATTAAGCAGAAAAAACTTATATTTACACCACGGCAAGTTACTTCGTGCTTTTATTCGGCTTCATTATTATTCGTTACACCTTGTCGGAAACAAATCGACTCGAGATGACATCTTTGGATATAATAATACGCTGTTTTTGCGTCGAAGTTAAAAGTCCAGATGGACCACCAAAGAGAATTTCATTCTTGAACGGAAGAACAGCAAACGGTTCTCTCCTAGAGAACGGCTACAAAAGATTCTTGAGATAGAAAGAGTCACCGTTAGAGTCGCATTAATATCCCTTGGTAGATTCCCGGTAATGATGTCGTGTCGACCTCCGGGAGAAAGAGAGAGAGAGAGAGAGAGAGAAAGAGTCCTGTAGAATAGGGAGCAGTTAAATCGCAGCATTGTGACGGATCTGCAGGACGCCTGAGAACGGTACTGAGAATCGGCAGATATTCGTCCGTCTCGCTCTTTCTCTCGCCTTTTCTCCAGGGACCGGTAAATATCTACTAATCACTTCTCGATCCTTTCTAACCTGCCTTGACCTTGCTGCCGCAAGAGTTATGGCAGTTGGTTTTGTTCGAGCTACCTCCATCTCAGAAGACTCAGAGATATGTACTTGCATCAGAAAGTCGTGATTGCACCGAGAACTTTGTAGATAGAAATTTGAAGATTTCCAAAAAGCACATTAAAAAAAAAAAAGAAACATTTGTTCCTGTCCTTTGAATTCAGAAGAACAATGAACTAGAGAAGGAAGTTTTTAAAATATAAATAATAGCGAGTGAGGAAGAAAATAAAATCAACACATAGGGAATATTGTTATAATAGTGTATAATTTACCAATGTATAAACAGAAACATATATAAAATTTGCAAAAAATCAAAGACTATAAAACAAGGTCGCTTGGCGACATACATTCCGGACCGCCACTATAATTTATCGCGCATAAAGTAAGACAAAATAGATAAGAGTTATCCTTGCTTCATCCTGGTAACCATCGCGTCGAAAATTTAATTCTTTGCAGTCTTGATTCTAAAATAACGAAATTTTACTTTTGTTTTGAGCCAAAATCAAAGTTTTCATGAAAGAAACATTAAATTATACATGTGCTTTGCAAGCATCTGAGATATACATTTTTAAAAATTTGAATATAAATATTAGCTTTAGAGACAAAAAATATACGACTGCATAGAATCAAAACCTTTTTCTTTCTCAGATTCTTTCTCGCGCAGATGTTCACGACTGATCGTCACCCATCTTTTCGCTACTGGTTGATCGGCTACGTGTTTGACTTCGATTCCGACTACGATCTCGGCTCTGATGTCTGGATGGCGTTTGTAATTTGTGGTTTTTTGTATCCTTGTTGTACAAGTAAGTCATGTCCTCCCGGAGGGTCTCCATTGGTGTTTTCCTCAGGGTGTCTTCTGTGCGCTTCTTGGTTGAACAGGACTTGCATTTGGTTATCAAGGACCTCGTTGTTAATGGAGGACTTTCTCGGCTTCTTCCTCTGCTCCTCCTTCTCCTTCTTCGTCTTCTACCCCTTCCTCTTCCTCTTGCTCTTCCTCTGCTTCTTCCCCTTCCCCTTCCCCTCCTCCTCCTCCTCCTCCTGCCTCGTCGCGATACTCCACGTCGGCGTCTTCGTCTCCTTCGTCTTCCTCGTCCTCGTCCTCTACCTTGCTCCGAGGGTGGCGCAGTGGGTGCTTTGTACAGCAAGTCGGGATCGAGATTCAGGCTATAATAACCACGGTCCCTTTTTAGGATACCGTAGTCCAAGCCACGTTTCAAAGCAGTATATATCTATAAATAAAATTAAAAGTCATTTCTTGCACAATTTTATTGTGTAATTGTTTTTTAAAATTTCTCAAAATCTAAAATATTTCTCTAAAAGAACAATATGTGTATAGTGCAAAAAAAGAGAAAGAATTGTATTACAACTTCTCAAAAATATATGTAAATTTTGTTAAATAAATTATTCTACCTGCTTTTGTATAGAAGAATCCGAACTGCCGCTATATTGGGACTTAATGTAATTCATGATTTCCTTTGACGTGGAACCGCGGATCTCCCGTAGATTGCGAATGGCGGAGGCCACAAGAGCCGACATTTTTGGCTTTGTCATTGTTTCTCAGTCCCTCCTCTTTCGTTGGTTTTTTCCAAAAATGTTCCAAATTGATAGTATGACTACGTTTCATGAGCGATCGCAAGGACTTCGAAGATCAGCCAGCAACAAGACGCAAGAAATTCGAAGAGAAACTCGGAAAAGTCAAAGATCTCAAGAAGCTCGTTACCGACGAATCGTTAATCATCTGGCGCGATGATCTGGACAATGCAGAAATCTGGACGATGGCTCCTTTGCGACTTTCCGAAATGTACGACGGCGTTAAAATAATTTGGACTCAATGAACGCGTGGAAACGGCACATTTAAGTGTCGCGCTTTAATGGTCACTAAGAAGATTTCATAACCGATAAAAATCGGTCGTACCGAATGTGCCGAATAAAATTTTACGAGGAGAGAATAAAATGTGTTGCTCGTCGATGGCGTGTCCGGAGATAACTGAATCGTTGTTATTGATGTGCTATTTTGTTAGATACGCGTTGCTAGGAAAAAGTTACATCTAGATGCCGATAATTCGAAAAACTGAAAATCACCAGGCAATACAAGGTGACGATATCAAAATCATATATTGTAATGAATTTATTTTTCTGAGTACTCATGTCACATTTAGAGCAAAGCAAAGTGCAATGCCGAATATTCTATATCGGATCGAGTTTTTGATAAGGAATAATATTGGGATCGCGAGATTCAAAACGATTTTGACTCAACAATTATTAGGAGAAGACAAACACGTACTGTTGCATCGAGAGAGACAAATCCGTCCAGAATGTTCCAATAGATCTAACAAATACATGCGATAATTGACGATAAAAGTCAATTGCAATAATAAGATGTTGAATATATTTATACATAAAATTAGAGAGTTATTATATTAATTAACGCGATATTACATTAATTAACGTTTTGAGCTCTTACCGGAGTTTTTATCGGATGCAAAATAATTAATAATAATAACAAGTTAAAGAGGCTGTCGCAATAATAAAAAACAAACACGCAAAATATGTTTTTAACCTGTTGCTTAGAAAGTTTACGTGTGTTTACATGACTTGTTACTTACGCGATTGTCGACGTTGGCTATATTGAACATCCTTGTTTCTTGCTCTTCATTGCTCATTTCATATTTCTTAGGCGGTATTCTTGTTTATTACGTATATTCCTATATAATTTGCCTTGTCGCTGCATTGCGATGCATAAATGTACACACAAACCACCGGCCGAGTAAATATCACATGTCACGTAACCGAGATGCACCGCTCCCATTGAAATCGCCTTTAATTAATACGCTCATTTTAATACTCATAATAACCGGTATATGCATAATTAAGACGATGGAAAAAACAAAAATGCACGGCTCGGGAGATGTGCCGAGCGATCGTCCGCACGCGACTTCGATTAATGCCACTTATAATCCTCGTTCGTACATTCATCATCGTCGTGAATGTAATATAAGTAATATTAATGACAACAAAACATTTGTTGCGCGAGATAAAGAGCGCCGGTTCTGGTACCTCTTTGTAGCTGTTTTTCGCATCTTGTTGAATGCAAATGCGCCTCCGGGACGCAATCCCCGCGTATCTTGGAATCACCGCGGTGCGCAGCGTGCGCACAACATTGTAACTGCATAAATCTAATGGACGGTCGACTACGTCGCGGTGTCACGAGCTTTGTGTATGAAATTATGCTACCGCGCATTTACCGTTCGCGGTAATACGATAAAGCTCTCTCGCGCGCGGGTGATTTCTCCTCTGTTTCCTCGCCGCGCGTCTCATTATCCGTCCTTAACGGTGCCCGTCGTCGCGGAAGAAAAAAAAAGTCGCAATTCCAAGACGCGCGGAACGCGTGTATTCCTCGGACGAAACGACTTGCCACCTCGTCCGGTAATTGGACGACGACCGTGGGGATGCCGCGGTTTACAAGAATAACGTGGCAATTTAGCCGGCCGCTTAAGTCGCGCGCGCTCGCGCCGGCGATTCGTTCGTTAATCAGCACCAGGTGTCGCGAAGTTCCGCCTCTCACCGAATGCGCACCTGCTTGTAAAATGCCCGCGTCTATACTCCAATAATTATTTATCAACGTCACATTGAGTGCAGGGGCACGAGTCGATCCGACGCGCATTCGATCGGTCGTTTTTTATTATTCAACGATCGCGGCGCGGCGTTTAGATCTCCTTGTTTCTAAACGCAGTATTGCTTTATAGCGCAATTAAAATTTAGAGTTATTTCCGTAATAAAATTCAATCGATCGCTTGAATGTAATCGAGCGATCGAGTCTTCTATTTGTGTCAAAAATTTGTTCGTTAACTTTATTTTAAATTTAAATTTAAGTGATTTTTATAATTGTATTTATCTTGATTTCTCGGGATGGTACCGCGACTTAGCTCGATACCGCATTCCAATCGATAAAACCATTATCCGAGCCGATGTCGCGAGATATCGCTTCATCGACTCTTCGTGTTGAGAGAACATCGATAAAAAGCAGATCTCTGAGAGGTTCTAGGGACGTAACTTTGTGTGTGAGCGCGACGGAGCTGAGCGGACCTGGTGCTTTGTTTCCACCCCATCTTTATGTTCCGTCCCATCAAGCCGAGACTCCGACTGAGCGACACGATCTTAACAAATGTCGCGTGTCAAGATAATTGCGTGTGGAATTCGCCGATCCCACGACGAGCACGTTGTTTCCGACGCCGCGGGAGAACGATGAGAGCCGCACGCTCCTGACAGAACCGCAGAGATTCCACGCTCCTGCGTTTGTACGAGAGTTTATGTATGCGTGTGTGTGTGTACCATCACCTCCTTCGCCACGGGATGTCCGGCCGGACAGAATGTAGTAAACCGAGCGTGACGATTGTTCACCGAGGCATTTTTACACCTACGCCCTTCACCTCGCTCTTTCCAGGAATCCATCGATCCCGATCCTCCACACCTCGCGGCGTCTAATCGCCGTGACTTCGCATCGGAGCTTTCTTCTAAAACAATGTCGGGGCTTCCCGGAGCGCGTGCACAGGTTCGCGCTTTTGCTTGGAGTGGTCCGCTCTTTTTGCTGCACGGACTTGTTGCTCGAAAAGTCGTTACAGACCGGAGGAGAACGCGAGATCGGGAGCAAGAAAACGAAGTCCCGACAATAGTCACAGATCTTACGCCTTTTACGATTGCAACGCGCCATTATGGAAGATAGTTAGGGAAAACCTTTTTTCTTTACTAAGAGTGCAGAGAATATATACGCAGCTTCCGTCATTTGTATGTCTCTCTCTCAGTTTATTTTATCGCACACTTTATTCGCATCGTACACATACATTCTGTATTATGCAAATACATTATAAGTAAACAAGCGCGAGAGGAGCTAATTTATATAAATTGTCTAACTCGTAAATAATCGTTATTTTCTCCGTCTCGTTTTGCGTAACTTAAAAAAATATCGACGTTCTAATATTTTAGTTAAAAAACATCGAGGCCAGCTCAATCATGTGATATTATAAAAGTGAGAGTGCGAGGTAATTCTACAATACATCCTGTGTAGAAATTCAATGATTTTTTTTTAATAACTACGGAAGGGTTAATTGCTACTTGCAGAGATTCAAAGAGGCCTGAGGCTGCGACAACGATCTTAGAAATGTCACGGTTCGAGGACGTGACTCTTTTCTGCGTTTTAGAGTATACCCGGAGGATATGCTTGTTAAACAACACAGTGTAGTATTTGCAGAAAGACACGGCCCTCGCGACACGGCGTCGCACGATCGACCAATCGACGTATCGGTCGATGCATTGTGCTTGTGTTGAGCGATGATTGCGATTGGCCGATCGAGCACCTTCCGCAACCGACAGTCGCGCATAAGTCGTACGTGTTACTTGCTTTGCATACTTGACCGGCGGCGCCCGACGTGGTTCATTATCCATCGTAAACGCGTTTTTTGCCATGGATCGCCATTTTGGAATTAATTATCGACCGACTTGACGCGCGTCACATTAGCGTTTCCCCCGTGGCGCAATATACAAATTATTCGATCGACCAATCATCAAGCGCGCTCGCTTGCAGCGTAATGTGCATTGCGATCGCGCGCATATGAATATTGCGCGCGCGCAATAAATAATTGATATTCTCGGAATGGAAAGATTGAAACGGCGTTGACAATTTTATTATCACAATTTGTCGCGCTCGCACATCTATCAGCGTGACAATGTGGCAACCAAGATTTTAATTATCGTCAGGCGAAGATATAATCTTTATGTCGCGCCACTTATGTCTTTTAGAAAGTCAGTCATATTATCCGTAGTTGCTCTCTCATTAGGCGGCGTAATTTTTCGTACTTGCCGGATATGGTAATTACTGCAATAATACAATTTAATGGGAACGCGTCGTGTTTTCAAAGAGCAAATTTTTAACTTAATTAAAAGTGAAACGTGAATTAACTAATTCACGTTTTTTATTACGTTACAGTTTCTTTGTACATACTTGTAGTACTTACGTCCATTTTTATCTCAATATATTTCTCTGTTTCTTCATTTGTATAATATTTTCAGATTCTACAATTAACACAATTTTGTTAAAAAAATTTAGATTGCAAACTATTCTAAAAATTGAGACGCGACAAACGTGTATATAATATCTATTATTGTAAAAGTTTTTTTTCTATATAAGGACAATTTTGATGTCATGAATCTTTTCGTTTTTAAATTGTACTCAGTCTTTGGTCATCAAATTTTTTATGTCTCAGTGACGCGTTATGGATTTAAGTGCATTATGATGTAGAAAACGATGCTTTTTTTATTTTTTATTTTTTTTTTATTTCTTCTTTGCAAGTTGGATTTTTAACTCGCAAGAAATTTCGCAGCGAAAGGTGAATTAATGCCAATAAGAACAGGCGCAGTTAATAAAACGAACTTTATTAAACGATTATATTAAACGTCGCCGCAGATTAATGCACTACCGGATCTCGAATGTCTCACTTCTCTTCGCGATACGCGCACCGAATGCGCGTACACGCGAGAAAAGGCAGGAGCTGACAAGAAATATGATCTACACTGCGGGCTCTACACGCGGTAGCTTTAAGATAATTACGACCGCGACCGATCATTCTTTTTGCGTGTCGAAGGGCTAAAGTTCGTGCGCGGCAAAAGTTTGAGGATGACGCGTAATAAAGTGTGCTTTTTTAATGTCGCTTTAATTGGAGCGACATCGCGGGGACAGTTGTGATAAATGTCGCACGGAGTTATCATTCGCGATGCGTCACTAATATTTCTTTCTCTGACCATAATTTTTAAATCCAGATGCTATCTCTTATTTATTTCTAATTTTCCGCGCGAATGCAAATCAGCGTCGCGCTCACGGAAGAGGGTCAAAAGCGATCGGAGAATCTTCGTGTTCGAGACGAATTTAATGCGACCGAGAATGTGCACGAGGCAGACGGTGCGGACGTGATGGGAGAAGTGAATCGGGAGAACGGGATAAAGAG